ACAGCTAATGACAGAACTTACCAAATTAAAATGCTGAACACGTCCGCACCACTTCACCTCCAGTCCACATCCATTTCAGTTAAACATGACATATTGTGTATAACATACTGGACTAAAACTCTGGGAGGAAAATACACACATAGACAAGTGCACATTCATTTACTTTCCAGGTAGAATAATCATTGTATCACGGCTCATCATTACCAGTTGCGACGCTGCCGACAGTGACCAACTGGTGAGACGTTCAGAGGGATCAGCTGCTTTATAGTTGTGATTTTTGCAGGCAGCTCCCCGGAGTGGTCTCGATCATAAAGTTTGTCTTTAGATCGTCAGGGCAGGGATTAAAGCAGTGGCTCACGAGGGGCTTAGAAGGAATGTGGAAAGTATGAGTTACCACACCTGCACTGACACATTAACACAAGTAAAAATGACTTAACTAACAAACACATTAACTAAATATAATACACGTGCTCTCGGTTAGTATTGTTTAGATGTAGGTGTTGTGCTTTTCATCCATACAGCTGTGGCAGACAACAAAGGTAATCCTTGTTTAAAATATATCTACATGTCTAAACCTCTTTTTTATAGATCATGAAGTGGCTGCACGAGAGACTAAGATGTGTTTTTGCTGCGACAATAAAAACTCATGAAAAGGAGATCTGGGTGCCAGTTAAATTTCCTGAATAACACTTAACCGTCCAAATTCCAAAAGCTGCTGGCAGGTATAAAGGGCATGTTAAATTTGTTCATCAGAGCCCAACAAATAACGAAATAAATGTATAACAAGAAAATATGTTCCAGCAGTAATTAAACCACTCATATAATTTTCAGTTCTGTCGGAAAATTTAACCAAATCTAATCTGAACACCTTGGATTTCTATAAAATTACTTTATTCTACAAGTCTCATTCTCAATTCGCCCAACATAAATGATTTGCACCACCTAGTTTCTGTTCAAAATAAATAAATACAATTTTAAAAAGTCTGCGCTCCTTAGAGTAACTGGAAAGCAATCAGTGACTCAGCTGTAAAAAGCTGTGACACAATTTCTGTGACTTTTTGTCTGAACTGGACTGAACTGGACGCAGTGCAGTATTGTTAACACCTATGGACACTTGTAACAGTATTGTGCATGTTGGGTACAATTTTTTTATTTGGATTTTTGTTAAACAAAACATCAAACACATACAACTTCAGTTAAAAAAAAAAAAAAGATTTATGGCATTATAACTGTATCATACTGCACACAAGATGTTTCTGGGGTCTACTACCACTAGCTACCAAGGTGCTGTGTCCGTAGAGGTGCAGGGATTTATATGGTAGTAAAAAGAAAATGAGCCGACGGTAAGTAAAAATGTGACAGGAGCAAGAAACTGCTTAGAGTGCAGAGGGTTAACTAACTGGCATTCCTGGAAGAGGTTAGTGGTCTGCTGATCCCATGTCTGCTGGTGTCCCTCATGACTCTGGTTATAGCAGGATAATGACTGAAGCCACAGCAGGACATTTAGACAAACATGGCCTTACTCGTGTTGTTTTCCACGATGAAGAGTTTGGTTTTTGAAAATCTAACCCTAATGAGACGCATCCCTTAAGAATTACTGATACCGCAGATGCTGTTAGCCATGGCTAGAAGTAGAGAGAACTCAAGCATGTCTTGTGTGTGGCACGACACAGTTAGAAAGCCATAAATCCTAAAATTGAATTGTGTTCTTTGATCACCTAATTTGCGAAAATTTTAATAATTGAGTGAACATGCAGCATTTTGCTCAGTCCTCTAGGTGTTACCAGCACTGGGGGAAAAAGTGACATGCTATAGAAATTTTACTTCTTATGTTTTTAATTTGTTCTATCCGTTCTTATCTTCTCCGTGTAATCACAGCCTGCAGTTCAGCCAAAAAGCCGTTTTTAATCACGACTGTTATTCACAGCTGAGTCACTGACGGCTTCACAGTTATGTTTTGCTTTTTACATCATTAAGTTCGAGCAAATACTTTATTTTCTGGTGATCTTTTTTTTTTAGAATGCAACATAAAGAATAAATTTAGATTTTTGAAGATGCGCTCACTTTGTCCAACTGAACTATACATAACACATAATTAGTTCAAGGACCGACTGTATAATGGAAATGAATGAAAGGCAGTTTTTTTAAAAAGATAATACAATCTGACATTACTAACATTACTGATGTATTTTTTATGATATTGAACTGTTACTACAGCCATTTATCTCTATATTTCTGTTTACATTTATCTATCTTAATATTGTTATTTATCTGGCAGCTTATTATTTTTAGATCTTTCATGCTGCTCATTCTGGACTGCATCATATTGTATATACCCATATTGCATATATTACATTATATTAATCATACATCTTGTATATTAAAATATCTTGCTATCTTTAATGCACTGTTTATACTGTTCTGCTGTTCCACAAAGACATTTTACATTTCACTTCACTTTTACTGCTTCTTTTACACTTCTGCTCAGATGCTAAACTGTATTCTGTTGTAAAAAATAGTAGTAATATTACAGTTATTTTAGTAATTTGAACTTGTCGAGTTGTTTTTTCATAATCCTTCTGATTCATTTTCTATCTAAAAATGATGGCACATAAAATATGTTCTTATCTTTTCACAGTGACTGTAAACCATCCAGTCATATCAAACAGACATTTATTGCACTGACAAGTTCAACATTCATTTACACAATTCCCTTATTTATAATCCATCTTATTCACCATACGTTAGAAATAATGAAAACCATGTTGATATTTACACACATACATACATTTATTACAAAATCGTACAAACAGAGTATTTCATTTGCATTTCAGTACATTTCACTGCATGCATGTCTGTGTTTCAATTTATTTTCCAGTTCAGAGAATGAATATTCACATTACTGTTGTCACTTTCTTTTGCATAAATGATATTCTTGATCCTTTAGTTCTGAAATGACTCACAGTAGAAACCAAGAAACAAAACCTCAGCTGTTCAGGAAGCTGGTGACGCTCATAAACATATCTCAGCATTAATGTTCACATAATGCAGTTTACACATGCCAAATGTGTGTATTTATTGTGCATTACAAGCATTTTTGGATGGAGATTTTGTGTGCACCAAGTATTGTAAAGTTGTCATTAGTTTGTTGTGTATTTGTTTAAAAAAACGTAATTAAATCCCACATTTTTGAGGAAAAAAAAAAAGATTACACTATTAAATCGTAAAGCCAAAATGAAGAAGTAGCTACTTAGCTGAACCCACTTTTCTTTTTTTGAACATTAACATGCTCCGCTTTAGTTCTGTGACTTTCAGTCCATATATGATTGGGTCCAAAAATGGTGGAAAAATCAGAATCGACACCCCACAAGCCCTTCTCAGGAAAGGGGACACGCTCTCGAAGCGATGAGAAATGAGTGTGAAGGCAGTAGTGATTTCTAAAATCAAGAAAACAACTAAATGCGTACCACACGTCTGCATGGCTTTCCGTCTGGCATCGGGCTGATTATTCATGACACACGTACGCAAGATTTGTGCATATGTATACATCAGTAACAACAGAGGGCCTCCCTGGACCACAATCGTAGCAGCTATTCCGTAGTAGTTGTTCACACTGGTGTCCTCGCAGGCTAGTTTCATTAACGACGGATTGTTGCAGAATAAATCCACTATATTTGTTCTGCAGACTCTAAAACGTGCATTCAGTATTATGAGGGTAAAGATGATGGAGAAAGTCACAACCCATATTAAAACAATGATTCTGGTTAAAGTGTGCGGATTCATGATGGTGTTGTACCTCAGTGGACAACATATAGCGATGTATCTGTCGTATGCCATAGCACTCAAGATCAGCAAGTTCCCTGTGCCGTAGAAATGAACGAGAAAAGCTTGAGTAACACATGCGGGATAGGAAATCAGTCTGTTCTGCGTCGCAATGCTGAGAAGAACATGAGGGAAAAAAGCCGTGGCACCGATCATGTCGCTAATGGGCAAGCTGAACAGCAGGATGAACATGGGCTTGTGCAGCTTTTTACTCAGAGCAATAGTTGTTAATACCAACATATTGCAAAAGACAATAAATAAATAAGCAAGCGTTCCGAATATAAATGCTGGATACATGTGTGTAGTTGATAAACCCAGTGATTCCAGTGCTAGTATGTTCCATGAAGATGAGTTTTCATGCATAATTATACAGGTTTAAAATGTTGCTGGCTGTCCCTGAATCCTGCCAACTGGTAAAATATCTTCACCTGAAAGAAATGTTCCCCTTATCAAGCAGTTTTAGTTGACTGCAATGCATCGAATGAAATGTGGGTGTGGTTTGATACCTGTTGCAGTACGTTCTCCGATCCTCACCCCCGCTGTGCCGTAATGACCAATGAACAAGATTTTATATCAGACAAAGATAACCCATGAGATGAGATGTCAGCGCACAGAGGAGCCAATTGCGTAAAGAGAGTCTGAGTCCCTGCATGTAGTTGAATGTGCACAGTTTATACATGCTTTGATTTTCATTTTGTTTTCTAAATATTTGCTGTTAACAAAGTCGATGGATTTGCCCAAAAATGTAGTTTAAAGTATTTTAAATAAAGACGTTGATCACATTTATTAGTGTTCCCAGTCAGTGAGGTGGTGGTCAAATGATGTGAGTTTTTCGGGTCTGACATCAATACATCCATCCATTATCTATACACCGCTTAATCCTCATTAGGGTGGTGGGGGGCTGGAGTCTATCCCAGCTGACTTAGGGTGAAGACAGGGGACACCCTGGACAGGTCACCAGTCTATCACAGGGCTACACTTAGAGACAGACAACCAAGCACACTCACATTCACACCTACGGACAATTTAGAATCACCAATTAACCTCAACATGTTTTTGGACTGTGTGGGAGGAAGCTGGAGAAGCCAGAGAGAACCCACGCTGCACGGGGAGAACATGGAAACTCAACACAGAAAGATCGAACCAGCGACCTTCTTGCTGCGAGGCAACAGTGCTGACCAACTGCACCACCTTGCATCCCTGATATCAATACAGATTATTAATAATAAAGAAGGCTGTTACGGATAATTATAGCTGATTTAAATTTGCAATAAAAATGAAAACATACCTTTGTTTATTTATGTTTTACATGATGTTTGATTGAAAGATAACTTTATTCCTCATTACTAATATGCTGTTACTTGTGGCGTGTAACCAATCAGATCGCTTGGGATTACAAAATGGTGGTTAAAAACAGAGACCCAACATTTTGGCTGATGATTTTAGGTTTTTATAGAGAATGTGAAAGTAATCCTCCTTTTTCATTTTTTCATTTACTTTGTGTAACGCATTAGTTCCACTGGCATCTAAACAAGCCCAGTGCATAATACTGCCACCGCCATGACAGTAGGTTTGGTGTTCTCGGGGTTAAAGCCTCACCGTTTCGCCTCCAAACATGTTTTTGGTCATTGTGACCAAATAGCTCAATTTCTGTTTTCTCCTGAAGGCCTTTTCTTTGTCCACGTGATCAGACTTCAGTTGAACCTTAAGGTGCCACATTTGGAGAAGAAGCTTCCTTGTTGCACGGCAGTCTTTTAGATTGTGGCGATGTAAAACACTCTTGACTGTGGACACTAACACTTGTGTTTTAGCAGCTTCTAATCAATTGCAAACCTATTTTTTGTTGATTCTTGGTTGACTGTTGACCATCCTGACCAGTTGTCTCGCAGCAGCACTGGTTGGTGTAGGTCGTACTGCAGGAGAGTGTGGCAGCAGGGCCTCTGACCTGTTTTCAGCAAATGTGCAAGTATATACCAGTAAAACTACTTTTAAATCATTTTTGTAGATGTTTTGGGACTTCTACCGTAACATTTGTCTCACATTTACCTGGAAAGATCTCAGATTTTAGAGTTTTTGAACAGTGACCTATGAGTAAATTCACCAAAAAGAAACATTTGAAAAGATTTACTCACAACAAACCCCAGCTGAGCTGTAATTCATTATTTTCAAGCACTATTCATCAACTATCAGTCTGGAGATGTAATTTCCACAACCTGAAAGCTTTGTAATAAACCAAAAAGGAGAAAGCTTTGTGGCCAAACAAGTCCTTCAAATTACAACCTTTTTTACTACCATTTTGTTGTTGTTAATCATGTATTTACTGTTTTTCTAAATGTTGCCGTGTTGATTCTGAGGTATTTATGGAACAGTTTTTACATGTTGATGTAGTACAGTTGTATCTTGAAGTCTGTCCTCTGCCCTGAAAATGCAAATTAACATCAGATGTCGCGGCAAACTTCCAGAAAGCAACCTGGTCTGAACTATTTAAGCACAGACCTTTTACATATTTATGAAGCCTTTAAATGTCCTTCTGCTTTTGAGAATTTCTTTTATAGGCTGTTAGAGAATGTCTTTTAATACACTTTAATACTTTTTGCAAAGTCCTTACAGACTCTTTGGTTTGCACACATTTTACTTTAGGGAGTGATGTCATAAGTTCATAAATCAAAGCTATAAAAATTGCTGTCTTGTACTGCGTTATAATGACAGTAAAGCTTCTGATTGGAATTCATATGTAAGCTCACATATATAACAATGATGATTGATTAATGTTGTTTGAACATAGTTGGATTTTATTCATGGACTACATCAGACATCTTGTTTAAACATCTTTTGAATTCTTTTATTTTCTTTTTAAAATGCACATTAGTAGATGTAAATTGTTTGGACACCAGAATGAAACATATGAAACTATGAAACATAAACTACAATCAGTGAACGGAAATGTAAAATATGAGCTACAAAGTTCACTCATCTTCACAGAAAATAATGTTTTAAAATACAGTCAGATACAAAGAGGATAAGAACAAGTGAGTTACAGGTTACAGTTTCAAGTCACTTTTAACTCTTTAAATTGAAATCTAATCAAAGTATTACATGTTAGACTATGTGCAGTATATTTTCCACATACTGACTGCTGTGCTTAAACAACACAAAGCGATTTACATGCCAACTAAAAACACAAAAGAAGAGATCACAGTGCACAGTGTAGATGAGCTACGAACTCAAAATACATTTTTGTGATTGCAGTAAGATTCACAGACTTTCACCCAGTTTCATCTCATCATCATCATCAGTTGCTATCTTAGCAATCTTAAAACCTCTTTTTTTATTTTACAACAAGTCATAGTAAGTCAAAACAGAAATAGCAGTGACAACTCTAAGACAGCAACCTTTTCATTTAGAGTTTTCACAAAGAACAATAAGTGGATTTGAGTTCAAGTTCATGACATGACGATGGTTTCATGGACAGCTGATACTGTTTAAACTGAATCAGAGTGAGATAATGATGGTTGTTAATCAGAAAGACACATTGTCTTTGTGGAGAAACGACCTAGAAGGACACTCTGTTTTTTAACACTCTCAGCAGAGTGTTGCGTATTTCACTTGTATACAACCCGTATACGATTGGATTCAGGAGCGGAGGTACTAGAAATATTAGCATGCCCATTATCTTTTGCAAGTCGGCTGAGACGTTTTTGAACCTGTGAGATAAAATCGTGAACGTTCCCACGACCTCAAATATGATCAGTATCACCAACTGTGCGACGCACGTGTTGACGGCTTTCGTCTTTGCCTCAGATTTCCTCGTGACCACGCACGTGATCAGGATTTTAACGTAGGAAAACGCCTGAACGGACACACTCACAGCTTGCATGACGGCCGTGTTGAACAGTCCTATGATGTTATTGAGTGCCGTGTTCCCGCACGTGAGTTTCAGGAGAGACGGATTGTCACAGAACACATTCATAATGACAGATTTGCACCTGGGAAGCCTTGTCTGCAAGGAGAACAGGGAGACAATCAAGACAAAGTCAAGACCCCAAACTAGAGAGATGATGCAAATAACAACTCTGGTAGTCATAACTGAGCTGTAGCGCAGCGGCATGCAGATGGCGACGTATCGATCGAAGGACATTGCTGCAAGAATGAACAGTATCCCACCACCGTACATGTGGAGCAAGAAAGCCTGCAAGACACACAGAGGGTAGTGAACCTTGTGTGTCTCTGTGACGATATCTGACAGTACTTTTGGCAGCATTGCAGTTATTCCTATCAGATCATTGAGGGGAAGACTGAACAGGATGAAATACATGGGCTTGTGAAGGTTCCTCCTCAGAATGATCAAAGTCAGCAAGGTCAGGTTGCAGGAAATTCCAAAAAAATAAATCGCAATACCGAGAAAAAATATGGGATACTTTCCTCCAGGTGGAATAACAAATGGGTCCAAGGTTAACTGTGTACTGAAGCCGAAAGATGTGTTTTCCATTGTCACCTAACTTAATGAGACAGTCATGAAAATGTGTGATTGTAAGTTAAGTCAGTGTCTACAGAAATCACAACATGTTGCTTTCAAAGTGATGCTGCCTGAAGTGTCGAGAACTGCTCGACTCGCTTTATTTAACGTCACCATAACCGTAGGTCGACTACGTCACCTTTTGCCTCTGGGATTATCGACGGCTGCGCAAAGATAAACGATATTATTAGGATTACTGAAAGTGTGAAGTTCTGAGATATTACAAGCACATTTACTTTTTCAGCTTGTATTCAGTATAAGGTGGAAGTTCCCTTAAAATACTGAATTCATTACCAGCAAACGGATGAACAAGATGAGTTGAGATGCGATGGTGATGAGATGCAGCAAAAGTAACGGCCTCAAGATGCAGGAGACAGATGATGAACAATTTCAAATTCTAATGGATAAAACAGAAAAAGAACAATGGGAACATAAAAGTGCACCATTGTACTCACATCAGTGTTTTGTGTGAGACAAACGTAGAGTAGTTGCTGACTTGATTGCCAATTAAAGTCAAACAGAGAACGAATCAGTAATTTAACAAAAAGCCTGAATAAAATACACATTTCTTCATTCTGTGCAGTTTACGATGTGAGCTGTATTTGACACTGAGTGATGATCAGTACGTCAGTATGATGATGTTTTGTTCACGAGGACCTTTCCCTAAACGGAGGGATGAATAAAGTTCCCTTCTCATTGAGTTAAGGATTTATATTACATTTTAAACATGTCAGGGACATCTTGGTGACCCTCATATTAGCTGTTTTACTTTTATTGGACGTTACATCTAGACCATAATCTTTTGAATCACATCTTTTTAGACAGAATCACTCTGTTTGACAGTCAAAACATGCTGGACTTTTTCATATTTCAAAAGTTTACAGTAACTTTCAATTGCAAAATCTACTGTTTCAGAGTAAGACTTTTGTAAAGTTGGCTTCTGGTTTAAGAGTGGAACAGCAAATCTGAATTATTTTAATTTGTTTCCATCACACTAAAGCCGTATTCATCCAACAGTATCATCCCCACCAATACGAACACTGGAAATTATAATTTTCAGGATTTTTCCAACTCGGAGCTCCTGCATAATTCTTATGTAACTGGATACACTTTAAGGAAGCAGAATTACATCAGCTCCATGCCTCATTACTTTGTCAAAACACATTTATTAATGAGCCCCTCTGAGATATGATTAAAGGATGTGTTATTAACTGTATCACGTTGTAATTAATCCCTGGACAAATAGCAAACCTCCGCTCCTTAATGAGATACTGTTTTATTTGCTAATGAGGGATGTTGTTTAATAGCACCCATGGGAGGCTGTGTGTGGATGAAGTGTTTGCACGTTGTTATGTGAGGTTGTATTTGACATTAAAAAAATGTGCAAATGTTTGATTTCTTCACTTTCATGTTTAACACCAGTGTGTTATTATGTAAAACACTTGAAGTTAAAGCACTGTGTCACGGCTTTTGCTGAAAATGTGTTTTGTGTCTACATTCATTTGTCATGTATTAACCAAACAGGCAGCATTCTCATGTTACCATGTATTAACATTGATACAAAGTGTGCAAAAACATCATTTTTGTGGCTTTTTACATTTATGTGGCTTAGCAGAGACTCACTAATTGAAACCGAGCGCTGATGTGGTCACATCAGACCGCTGGGAACAAGGACTTTGTTCATGCACACAAAAGGCCAGTTAGGACATTAGGAGAGACTAATCATCTCCCCCCGAGAAACGGACAGGATGGACCTTTGAGCTGCTTTCATAATTGATTCGTCCCTCTAATTACTCGGCGTGCTCTTTCTCCAGTCTGGTCCTGCCGCCTCACAGTAAAGTGCATCGTGTGAATCTGCTGGCTCAGGCCTTCTCTCTGTAGAGTTTGCATGTTCAGCTGGACCTAAACACAGTGGAGTTAAGTGAATTTAGTCTTTAGCTCGTCATGTAGGCGACCCCTCGGTTTACATATTATTCCAAACTCGAACTAAGCGTGACACGTTTAATACAGTTTGATCTACCAGAGGCCTAAACTAGCTGTAACATTCTGTTTAGTGCAGTTTTGCATTGCTGTGCATTTGTCATTGGAGCAGGCCAAAGAGCCTATAAGTCAGTGTGAATGTCTGTTTCTGGTCATCAAGGTCCGCTATGCGGTTTACATATGCATACAATAAATGTTTGTATTTACTGAAATACAGCATTCTAATGGTTAAGGCACAATCCACAGTTTGACTCTTAACCATCCAAACCTGTTAGACCCACTTTTATGTGTTGATTGGAAATTAAATACTGAAAACCTGCAAATTTGTTGAGACAATAAATCTTTTCTCGTTGTCTTGAAATAATCAAATCTAATAATTTTTTTTTTAAGAGTTGTTTTTGAGTATATTTTCACTAATCAGATGATGTCCAGCTGCTAAGGAAGGAGTAGGTGTGATTAAGTGTCAGCGTCTTCAGCGTAGTGTAGAATGTGGCATCAGGACAGTCTTGGACCTCATGTTAGACCCAGAAATATTGTGTTGTCTTGTTCAAAGTGAGAATAAAATAACCAAATGACAGCAACAGAATCAGCGACTGCAGTGTTGCAAATTTTTTAATCAGGAAGCGAAGCACTGTTAAGGTGACACAGGGCACGACAGGCCATAACACAATCTTTTTC